AAGGTTGTAAATTTGATGTAAATATTATGCAAGTCACCAAAATAATGTAAATTTGATATAAATGATAAATTGGTTGCAAGTATGCTTGTTGTTGCTTGATATTGTGAAAATTCAATTACAGTTTTTGTTCTTCACGAGCCATGTGACTGGGAATAAGTCATTTGTCGTATAAGTCATTTGAAATAGAACAGATACCAAAAAACCCTACTTTTATTCATTGCTTAAAAGGACGACCTAAAATAAATATATTTTGAGGTTAAAAGGTATCATACGCACTTTTGAATTGCTAGTTCTTTTCGACTAAATGTTATTGCTCAGATGTCTTGCGTGTTTCCATTCTCTGACAGAGAAACAGGCGGTATTGTTTCGACTAAGAACGAGAAAGGCTTTGAATCACAAGCTGAGATTCTTCCATAGAATCGTAACAACTTTACGCTTTTTTCTCTGATCTCATAGAAACAAGTCTTTTCATACATTTAGCCAATCAATGCGCGCTTTTAAGATTTATATGTCGTTTCTGCATGTCATTTGCATCGCATCCTTTTTTACGGAACTAAATACACTTTTGTGTAAATAAACTTGATTGTTGATTGTTATCACCATCATAATCACAATAGCCTGCTGTCATGTGACCAGTCCGTCTGCCAGCTCTGTTGTCCCAGTTCATCTGTATGTGAATTGACAAGATGTTTTCTATCCCTTGTTCCAGTGTTGCTGTATACGCGATGGTTTTGTAGCATTTTCAGCTACAAACTAGTTTTAATTGGCATATAGGGCTAAAAATATTCCTTGTAGAGGTAATAAGTTGAAGTGAGTTGATGTGAGGTATCTTTTTTGCTGTTATTTTTCGTTAATGTGATAATTACTTGCACATTGCAAACAGCCTGTTACTTGTGGTCAGAAGATCAAAACAAAAAACGAATGTAATGTGGAAATTTCACGTAATTGTAATTTTGTTTTTTGACCGTAGACATGGTATTGTGCCCATCTGTATCATAGCGCACTGTTTCTGTAACCACTTATGAAAACTATTAACTAATCCAGCTTTCTTCGTCCAAGGACGATTGTTCCTATAATTTTAAACGACCACAGTTTTCAAATCATGTCACGCATAACAAGCGTTTTTCTAGCACATTTATACCATTAATGCGCAGGCGTTGATAGCTTCGGATTGTTTTATTTATGCTATGTAGCCACTATATACATTATCAAATACTTTTGTATACTGCAGTATGCAGAAATTATGATCTTGGCGATAATATCCAAAAATGTCTTATTTATTTTACATATACTTGAAATATGAACAAACAAGATCATAATTTCTGCACATTTGCTATGTTTTTACAATAGTTATATTTATGCTTATATCTTTTTTAATGTTTTTACAATTATAATCTAAAAGTAAATTAATGCAAACCCTTATGGAAGATTGCCATATGATTCCAATTACAACCATCTATCTCTTTAAGCTTCTTGATTTCTTTACAGAAACATTATTGATTTATTGATGTAAATTATTATTCATTAGTTCTATAAACTTCCACAAATATTGTCATCGCATTTTGTACTTAGTATACCACTCTATCACTATATTCTATATTTCAAAACTTCCGCATTAGCATTAGTATAGCATTAGTATATTTATGCAAGAAGATTTCTGGCTTTACAACTTTTATACGTTATAGGGCGTCCAAACCAAGAATTAGTTTACAATTTATGTAGTGAAAAGGACTGCTCTTAATCARTTATTCGAAAAGAACTTGCGAATTGTCTCTTACAAAAAGAGAGCTGTTTCTTTTCTTAAAAAAGTGACAGACTAAGTAATAATTTGCACGCTTTGCCACTGGTCCCACAACATCCAAGGTATATGTTATTTCTATTTTGACAATTCTGCTAAAATAGGCCAATCAATTGTTGCACTCGAGTGTTGAAATTTTAAAACAAATCTTCTTCTTTATTTCTTTGATTTGAAAAAGCTAACTCGAAATTAAATTAAAAGGTTTTACCTACCTTTCGCAAATAAACCATATGTTTTTCTATATACCAATGAAATGATCTTGCTTGCAGACCACCTACCACCTACCACCAAGCACTTTCGTTAGCTACTGCTTAAAATCTTCTGTTAAAAGTCTTTCAAGCTTCAGAATTGATCTCAAGGATCTTGCCACATATTATTAACAGCATTTAACATTGTTTGTTTTTCAAATGACCCGTTGACGTATGAATACTACTTATTAAAAACAGTCAATCTTACATTAAGAGCTTTCTGCATCCTCTCGTTCTTGCAACCAGTTCTTAATAACTTCTAACGGCGGATTGGGTTTCGTATACTTGAATATCGACTAAAAATGTTGATCCATGTTGATGCATAAGAAAGATCATTAAAAGGAAAAAAATCCCGATGACGTGTTCCAGGTCAAGCTAGTCATTCGATAAGGAATTGACTGCATGTTTTCTACATTAAAATGATTGTCTCTTTCGACAACTACAATAACATCGAAGCTCCAGTTATATAAAACGTTAGTCTATGGTTTAAAACGAAAGTAGCAGTAATCTATCAGAGAACTTTATGAAGTACACAAAGAAAAAAATCACACATACATTAGCTCGGTAATGTAGTTAAAATTGAACACAAGTGGATATAAAAAAGGCGATCAAGTGCACTCGAATATAAAACAAACACATTAACGGATAGATATACTAGTTAATACAACAAAGAATGCAAAACAGATCAATGTGGGATTGTTTGTTGACTTCCACTTTTTAGTATAATGAGATTACATAAAAATAACTTGTTAATTCGAAATGTTTGAACCAAACCATTCAATCATTCAGCATTTGAGCACATCTGAGATCCATTTGATATTCCGAAAAGAGGCAAAGTTTTTTGGCAATCTAGATGAAACGTGTATTTCCTGCTCGCATCATCGACGTTTAATAGGCCAAAAGGAAGCACGGAAAAGCTAATAATTAATATAGCATATATAATTTTCATAACATAGTTTTTGACTAAATGATTTCAGCCACACAAATTCCGAGTACCCAGAAATCTCTTCTGTCTTCACCTTTCTGAACCCGACAAGGTTTTTTCAATTAGGTGTTTATCGTAAATCAAGCTATAACATTATTAACATAGCTGGATTCCTCCATTAGACGTTCTTATCGTTGTTACACCAACTCACTTTTCCTGCATATTATAATGATGCTTTGGTCCTGATTAACGGGTTAAGAAAACATGATTTAAGCTAACAGCTAACAAACAGCTACGCAGCATACGAAAGGCTTGAGGCGAAAGTAACCAAAGGTCACTTTCCATCACTTCAATGACCACACAACTCATAACTGCTTCTTATTATTACAGAAAAGAAAAAAAGAGACGAAAAAACGAAAGAAAATAGAAAAAACATATGTATAGGAAAATAAATAAAATGTACTTTTACTGACACCGTTCAATTCAAAGTATTCAAATTTCCAATTGGTTCTCTTTAATTTTCAAATGAAGTTGTTCCGTTGTTGATTGGAATAACAGCAGCAGCAACACAAACAGCAACATCAACAACAAGCAAAAAGATAACCAAAGTTGAGACAATTATGCTAATTCCTTTCTTCCATATTGCATAATCAACACTATTAAGTATTTTAGTTGTTAATACTAAACTATTTTATATTTTATCGACTTAAAAAAAGTAAATTAGGTTTTAAGGGGCAAGTTGACAGGAACAGCAACAACAAAAACAATATAGCGTTCATGGGATATTAAAGGTTTTCTTGACCAGATTTATCCATAATGCACAGAAGAATGTTAACCATTGTTTAATGGCAAAGGTTTTATGAAATATATCCATTTCAAAATTTAAAAGTAAACATGAAATAATCTCTGAAAAATTAACATATACCAAGGAAAGACAAATTAAACAGAATTCAATAATTCAAAAGGTAAATAAGCAAAAAGAATCTGACATCGAAAACTGGATGCTATGAAATGCATGCAAAGAGGAATCCAATAGAATTGCGTTGCTTGCAAAAGTAGGAATCAAGTAAAAGTATAATAAACTCAGAAAAATATATTTTTTAGGAAATACATGCAAAAAAAGTAAAATATAATTGTCTGATGCAATGGTAAATTACTTTATCAAAGCATGATTACCTTCACGAAGCAATTTTCCTATCAGCAAGTGTATCCATTATTTCCTGGTGCCACAGACTCAACACTGTAGATTGAGCTCACGACCAAAATGACATGATATATATTTGAAAGCTTTCTTCAGTTATTAATATTAAAAGTTTGCTTTTACCTTAGTCAGTAAACGATGAATGCACTCTAACGCAATTTACGCTAAGTAAATATGTGTCTTTTCAGCTTTTACTGAAGTGTTACTTATAGCATCTCTTGGTGAAATGTCACTTTTACTCTCTGGCGCCGGAAGGCATTTCATACTATGTTTGGGTAGAATTTCGATTTTTTTTAACTCCCTGTGTTCAACCATAGGTCACTGGGAGGATTTTTTTATCATTTTATGTTTCAGGTTTATGTTTCCTATTTTCCTCCTGAAAGTATTATAAAGAATCTAGTTGGAATTTTGTAAAATAAAGAGGTGACCATATTTGGTCAATGATGCTTGTATTTGTCAAATGACTTTTCAAATGTTTGCAATTTCCATGTTTGATTTTGATCTCCTCCTGTTTTTCTTTCTTAAATTTAGCGTGTTATATTGTGTTTTGTTCGTGTTTTAAGTTTTTTTTTTACGTTAAAATGCTTCCAAATCTCTTATAAATTCTTTTTGCCTTTCAAACAACAGCTTTTCCAGAAAGATCCACTTGAGTCAACCTACTATCAATACTCGAGAACTCTTTTAAAAACATTGTCACGATATTGAATTTAAAAATACAATCATTTAAAACAGTTATGTGCAGGCGCGACTTTTTTCATTATACAATTCTAGCTGGTGCTCAATTTAAAAGTCAATCAATGGAAATAGAGAGATGTCAGAGAAAGCAAGGTCATTATATATCTACAAACTCTCTCGTTTGTACACTTTAATTGTATAGATTTTACCCAAATTATTCATATCATATTTTTATATTTTCTTACCTTTCATTTTTGTTTATAGTGACACAATGAGTCATACTAATACTACAATTGTAAAAAGATACATGATGTCTTGAGATTTAGAAACACAGGTAATACATTCAAATTAAAGAAGCACTGCTGTTAACTTTTTCTTCGTATTCTAATACTTTCGTGAATCGTTAAAGGATTGATACTCAGTTTCCTTGCAATCGGTTTTACAATTATGCATATATGCAACTAATATGCACATACAAAAGTAATCATACCTTTTTTTCAAAGTTGATACTGATAATTTTAAACTTACATTAGTCAAAAGAAAATGTATTAGTTTTGTTCTTTTCTTTGTTTGTTTTATGTTCTATCACCAAATTTTGAAATTCATTTCGACATTAACGCATATTTTAATATGCATTGGAGTAGTATAGTATGGACCAAATTGCCCAAACTCCATTAGAGAACTCGAGAATCAGATAGTATGAAAACACATGCAATACGAGCGCCGGTGAGAAGGCACTTGGCCACTTTTTTGTACATGCGGGCTCTTGTGCATTAGCCTGAGTACTAGGGCTTCTTGAATTCTTAGAGATCTTCAATATCAAATTAATTCTTTCAGATCTTTCCTTGTTGAGCAAACCTTTCGCTCGGCCACTGGAGTCGTGGTTCTCAAATCGTTGAGTCCAAACTGTCGGCTTAAACACTCTCCACGATGACGAAAGGAGTTTTCCTGGGCACTCTCTCTGATTTCTGAATGAAAAGAAATACCGATAACATGAGAACATATCCCTGTTTCTTTTGCCATAAAAAAGGTTGTGGACCAAGTTAAGTTGATATATCCTGCTTAATTCTATCTTAAAATAGTCTAGTCTCACTAGTGCCCCCCCCCTCCTTAGTGCCCCCCTCCTTAGTGCC